GGGGGTATACTTGCTGAGATATCTACAATTAGAAACAACACAAATCGTAAAAATTTAAATTGGGGTGACGAGAAATTAAGCTGTTTACTGGCACTGACGAATAAAATTGTCTAGTGTTGATAGCAGTGCCGTAGCAACCGAGGGTCTGGGGTCTTCCGCCCCGTCCCCCCCCCCCACAAAAAATTGTAAACTAGCGATAATCTGTGAAGTTTGAGAGGGATATAATTACCCAATAATCGCCCCTTACTAATCAGCTCCCCCAATACAAAATTGCTTCCTACAAGTAGTGGATAGGCTGTAACCATTGAACTAAAAAATAAACTGGAAGGCTAACTGCTATGATGAAGGCCTATGTTTTGATGAAGCCAAAATAGTTTTTCTGAGTTATGAGCAAAAATACTTGACCCCAAACGTCGGGCTATATATCAAATTGAAGCTATTGAAAATTGCTATTCGGTGTGGAAATTTCAAGACTTCAGCGAAAAGAAAAATATTTAAAAAATACAAAAACAACTGCAAAACGGCAAATTATCGGTAATTATGTTTGTAGTTTTTCAATATTTCCCTTTTAGCTAAAGTCTTGAAATTTCTACACCAAATAGCGTTTTTCAATAGCTTCAATTTGATATATAGCCCAACGTTCAGTGTTGAGTATTTCTGCTCATAATTCAGAAAAACTAAAATGCACTGGCTTCAATTTCCCCCCTGAGTTAGCCTTCCAGTTTATTTATAGTTCAATGGCTGTAACTACTAAAGTATGGCGCATTGCCAGCCAATGGCGGTTAATAAGAGACATTAGCAGATACAGACAGTACTCTACAACTGACAAGTAAAATCGTCTAGCGTTACAGAGTGTAAATTTGCCTGGCGTTAGACAGAGTTAATACTAAAGTGGGGTGCATTGTCAGCTAATGGGTATGCCGTTTATCCACTTTTGACTCAATGGCAACTTTTTCATGTTGGTTATTTACTCATGTTCCGTGCACGCAATTTAAGAATAAGTTCATTGGGTCAAAACTAAACTCCTCTTTAGAGTGGTTTTGCATTCAGTTCATGTGGCAAAAAAAGCAGCACTTTCCTTGCGATAGTAACTCCTAGTCTAAATATATATGATAGCGAAGAAGTACGCATTTATCGGGTAGACAAGCGGCGAGCCATTAAAATGGCGGCAATTTGACGAAATATCGAAGGACACAATATCGAAGATTAAAGACACTGCACTGCTTCAAAACTTCATGAAACTTGGTTGAAATCTTCTTTAGCCATTAATCATTATGTAAAAGTACAACAACTGGATAGATATTTGCGAGACTCAGCGATAAAAAGCAAACACAAGACGGCAAAATATGGCTGAAATCGTGTTTTCATGGGGGGTGAGTGAAATAAAATGTATTATATTTAAAGAAAACCATGACAATCCTTATGATAACTACAATAATTATATTAAATTAATCATAGTTTTAACACACACTATTTTTTATCCAACTCCGGTTGGTGAGAGCACTTCTGAATTGATTTGTAATTAGAAGCGAAACGCAGTTCCATGTTTACTCATTGCAGCTACTATAACTTTTGAAATTGCTTTTATCTTTTCATAGATGTACTTGACAGCCTGAAGAATGTGAGCAGTGGTAGTCGTCCAATTCACTCAAGTATCCCTTGTACACCTACCAGTACTCCAAATTATTCAAATTCTTATAGACAGCATCAAAGTAAGTTTAATTAACAAGACGCTCTGTAGAGCGTTAAACTCGCTGGGACTAACAAGCACATTAGTGTATATGATACATACAGTACACAGCTACTAAGCGGAAAAGTCGAATACGAGCGCGAAAGGGTAGGAGGAAAACGCGGGCATGCGGAAATGCGGACATGCGGACACGCAGGTCAAGTGGAAGACGCGGAAATGCGGACACGCGGACAAGCGGACACACAGGTCAAGTGGAAAACGCGGACATGCGGACACGCAATTTACTAAACTTCAAAAAATCTATTACGACAATAATTAATAATTTTTTGCGTGATATTGAAAGTTAGCAAGGCCGAAGTTGTATTATAACACTTATTTACTTTTTCTTCTCTTTTCTCTGTCTTAGTTTGTAAGCTCGTTTAGTGCATTTCGCTTCTTTTTTTAGTTACTTAGACAAATCTCGCCTTGGGCCATGGCTTTATATGTTCTACATGTAAAGAAGCTTGTTTTGCTGGCAATTATTCTCTGCATAATTGATGTCATATTTACATTCAGAAAGCTATATCTGCAGGTGTGATGTCATAATTACACAATGAAAACGGAGATTGTATAGGAAATAATGACTGAAGATTGATAAGGGATTGTTGCGCGAATTTAGTACTGTTTTCATGTATTTTACTTACAGTATTGAAGATTCTGAAAAACTCTCTCAGAATCTTTACAAAATACAAAACTACGGGAATTCAGAAAAGAAACGTTTTCATATATTCCAGTTTCAACTACATACGTTTTAATCGTCATCACGAATGATACTAGGTTATATTTTATAATGTATAGATATATTTCCTGACCTTTGGCATAATTTGACCCACGACCTTTAGCCAAGCTCATTAATTAATCACCCATTGTGAGGAAGGATTACAAAGAATTAAAGGAGGTGCGAAGTGTCAAAATGGACGGGCATTCTATATCATAATAATGATCCCGACGACATCAACCGTCGATCAACCGTACCCATAGTATTGATCGGCAATTACAAGTTAGTCATGATCAGCTAGAATTTTGCACTGAGATCTTAACCTTGAAGCAAGGAAGTAAACCATCACAAGACATCATAATATATACGTATGTGTTTGTATATCAAACTACTCTGTGACTCTTCACTTATAAAATATAACCTAGTATTATAAAATATAACCTAGTATCATTTGCGGTGACGATTAAAACATATGTAGTTGAAACTTGAATATATGAAAACGTTTCTTTTCTGAATTGCCGTTGTTTTGTATTTTGTATAGACTCTGAGTGGATTCAATATACTGTAAGTAAAATACATAAAAACAGTATTAAGTTCGCGCAGCAATGCATTATCAATCTTCAGTCATTATTTCCTATACAATCTCCGTTTTGATTGTGTAATTATGACATCACACATGCAGATATAGCTTTTTGAATGTAAATATGACATCAATTCTGCAGAGAATAATTGCCAGCAAAACGAGCTTTTTTACATGCAGAACATATAAAGCCATGGCCCAAGACAAGATCTGTCTAAATAACTAAAAAAAGAAGCGAAATACACTAAACGAGCTTACAAACCAAGACAGAAAAAAAGAGAGAAAAGAATAAGTAAGTGTTATAACACAACCTCGGCCTTGATAACTTTCAATATCACGCGAAAAATTATTAATTATTGTCGTAATAGATTTTTTGAAGTATAGTAAATTGCGTGTCCGCATGTCCGCGTTTTCCACTTGACCTGCGTGTCCGCATGTCCGCGTTTTCCACTTGACCTGCGTGTCCGCATGTCCGCGTTTTCCACTTGACCTGCGTGTCCGCATGTCCGCGTGTCCGCATGTCCGCGTTTTCCACCTAACCAGCGCGAAAGTCTTAACCATACTATGGCTAAACACAGTACTAAAATGCGGTGCCCTAGGGACAAATAAAACTTGCGGCGTTTCTTCCTACAAGTAAACAGTGTGACCATATTCAGTATATTTTTTTACTTTTGGTAAAATTTCGATAATTTTGATACCCTGGCCCAGAGGTTTTTTTGGGTTTGGCGAACGCGAAATGCGAGAAAACGCGCGAAGAAAAAGGAAAAACCTCTGGTGAATTTGTTAGCGATTCCTGGTTCGGATAAAGAATGCAATAAATGTATAATGGCTTAATGCATCATATTCTAAAAATATTATCCAATCATTATCCTTGAGACGAATCCAATGAAATGAGACGAATCCACTGGTATACGGCCGAAAAAGATAAAAAACCAACGATGTACCAAAGTTATTAAGGATCAAACTTATTGCATTTTTTATAATTTATAGTTTAATAATTTTAAGCGATTTGTCAACAAATTATACAATTTCGCTTGGCTTTCAAAGACAAATGCCATAAATTGCTAGAATACTGTTGTTTTGTAATACATTTGACATCCGTAAGTGTTGTTCTTGAAAGGAATTATCCGAAACGCACCACGTTTATATAAATTGAATCCATATTAAATTCATATATCAATATATTTTCGTACAAAACATCGCTTTAAAGGTGGTTTCTATAGAAACAATACAAATACATTATGAACTACGCTACAAGAAACAAATTACTTTACAAATACATAGAAAACAGGACCAAAAACATGCAAATGTACCTGACTTTTGCCCTTCGTAATCCGAACAAACAATCAAATAATATAAACCAACATGTGTTTTTTATCACGTGACGTCCTACCCGCTCGCAGGCGATTAGGCCCTACTTTTTGGGTTAGATCCTACAAACCGGCCCCTATCGAGTATAAACATAGTCGATATACCAAAACACAAGGAT